CTATCCACCGTACAACACTTTGCACTGTAGTCCGTCATATAAATCCCGGGTAATGTTGAAGATTTTCTCTGGTACAAAATGGTGTCGGAGAAGTTTCCATAATGTCCTCCTATTCACACTGTCAAACCCCTTCTCCTAATCAGGGAAGTTCATGTATAATGAAGTGTTCCATCCAACTGATTGCTCAAAGATGATCTGTAATGTGGTGATTTGGTGTGTGCACGATCGATCTTTACGGAATCCGACCTGTTGATCTCGAAGTTGAGGATCTACTGAATCTTCCATTCTGTTGAGCAACACTCTGTTGAAAATCTGTCATGGTACTAGTAGTGGTGTGATTCTCATGTAGTTCTCACATTTGCTCTGGTTTTCTTTCTTTGACATCTTGCTGAGTTGTCCTTCTTTCTAGTCCATCTTCACTTGTTCTTCCTCCCAAATGTTCCTCACTATAGTGTGGAGCATGTTTGTGACTTTAGTGCTTCAGCTTGTATATTGTCAAGTCATGCTGCTCGCCCTCTCTTTGTTTATCAGATGTCCTCGTGGTAAGATAGCAATCTAAACATCTTTTCGATCTCTAAAATTTTACAGTGAAAATATACTGCATTTATGACCATTATGTAAAAAATTGAAATGTTCGTCACTGACCTGTCTACATTATTTCTTTTCACTTTGGCTATAAACTAAAGTTAAAAGAAAATTTGCATTCTTATGGTAGCCATACACTTTTACATTCAAAGAGAAAACAGTAGTTATTACGACTACTTATAAGCAATAATAACTACCTTATTTGAGTTTCTTAGAAATTATTTAGAAAATAATGTACACGAATTTATTTGTAATTAGCGTAGTAACTATTTTGGAAGGACAGAAAGAAACGCATTCGTCAGATTTTCTAACCACTTTCCAAGGAACCTTTCTTTGAAAACTAAGAAAGTCTTCAAACTTCAAACTGCTTGACACTTAATGTGTAGTCTATATAAAGTGGGTATCAATTATGCATTTAAAATTAATAATTAATCAACTACTAACATCACTCTTGCTTCATTTTGCGGGTAACATTACTACTAAACGTTCCCGAACTATTCTCTACATACAGATGTAAAGCCTGAAAAGCCTTTGGTTTGATTATCGTAATTCTAATCAAATTACACTTTAAAACCTCTCAGTCTTATAAACTTTAATATCTTTCACATGATCTTATTGATAATGATATTGATTTGAATTTGTTTCTAATTTATTGTTGGGTGGTTACACAATTACTTATTAATTTAATAGAAATTATATATTCACTTTTTCTTAAATGTGACTAATAGTAACTGTGACAACAAGCCCTTTACTTCCGTATAGTTTAAGACATCTCAATCTTAACCATATTTATTCATAAATCTTTTGTTGTGTTCTTATTATGGTATTTGGTTCCATTTCAAATATTCAGGCAAACTTTACTAATTAAATTATGCTGGAATCGTCGTTTGGAATTATGCCAGTCATTGTAATTTCAGGCTGTTTGCAATTGATATGAACCCATCAATAAGAATGGATTGCTTTCGTTCTATAAACTTATTGGTTCTTGTTCTGTTTAAACTTGTCAAGGGATCTAACAGCAATAAACACAATAAATCAGTCTGGGAGCATCGAGGCTAACACATAATTTTAAACTAGAATAGCTCAATTCGCTTGAACATGATATTCGTTTGGAAGAAAAAACACAAGTTTTCATAATTTAGAGATTTTTTTTGAAAGAAAATTCTTCTGCGTATCGGGTTGCTGATAGTTTGGTTATATAATACTACTGAGCCACAGAATTTCAGTAGACTGAACTGTTGGCTAAAAAGAAGTCGAAGTACATTCAAGTGTATACATTTAAGCTACATGTAAACGTTTCTAGGCTAATGACAAAGAAAAGAATATTTTGAATTTGTAAACTACACAAAATAGAGTTACATTTCATTCTAATAAAATAAGTCTACTTGTAAATGCGGTTGAAATACAATGAGTGAATTATTTGTTTCGCTTACTTGTTAGAGGTCTATAATATTAAAAGACTAATATTTGAATGAAGAATATTCTTTTTGAGGAATTCTCTTCAGGTTCTACAATTCCGATATTCAAATTAATAATCTGAAAAATGGTCAGGTAAAGGGTAAATTACATCGTTTAAAAATAAAGCAAGTGAATTTAGGATTGTCAAACGAAATAGGATCAAATTGTTAGTGTTGATATGACTCATATAGAATGATAATTTGAGTCAGCTTATATGTTAAGTGAAGATTTAGAATCCATAATTCGAATAAATGTGGGTCAGATAGGGTGAGAGAAATAATAGTGCAATTACAATTTGGTGGAATACGATATTGTGTGAAAAATTAATAATTTCAATAGTTGAGATCATGCGTTAATTGAAGCTAGACCATCGTGGAAAACGTGGAAGCACTGAACGGCCGAAACCTATAGGTCCTGTGTTCGAATCTCGTAAGGTGAGATTGTGGATGTGCACTGC